GACCTGCTGGGCTCTGGTGATCCTTCCACCTCAGCCTTCCAAGTAGCCGGAACTACAGGCATGTGCTGCCATGCCTGGCTAAGTTTTTTTAATTTATTGTAGAGACGAGGTCTCACCAAGTTGCCTGGGTGGGTCTTGAACCCGGGGTCTCAGGCAGACTCAGCCTCCCAAAGTGCTGGGATTATAGGTTGAGCCACTGAGCCCGGCCGGTTATTTATTTTATCATTATTTGAGTTGGAGTTGCACTCTGTCACCCAGGTTGGACTGCAGTGGCACATTTATGGCCACAGCAGCCTTGATCTGCTGGACTCAAGTGATCCTTCCGCCTCAGCCTTCCAAGTAGCTGGAACTACAGGCATATGCCACTCTGCCCGGCTAATTTGGATTCATTGTAGAGATGAGGTCTCGCCAAGTTGCCTGGGCTGATCTCAAACCCGTGGGCTCAGGCAATCCTCTCACCTCGGTTTCCCAAAGTGCTGGGATTATAAGCATGAGCTACTGTGCCCTTCTTTTTGTAATTAGAGACAGAGTCTTTCTCTGTTGTCCAGGCTGGAATGTAGTGGTGTGACCATAGCTCACTGCAGCCTCAACTTTCTGGGCTCAAGTGATCCTCCTACCTCAGCCTCCCAAGTAGCTGAGATTACAGGTGCATGCCACCACGCCCAGACAATTTTCAATTTTTTCGTAAAGACAGGTTCTCACTAGGTTGCCCAGGCTGGTCTTGAACTCCTAGCCTTAAGTGATCCTCCCATCCCAGCCTCCCAAAGTGCTGCGATTACAGGCATGAGCCACTGCACCCGATACAGTCTCTTACTCAACCAATCCCCTGCTTGTGCACATGCGCTTTGTTTTTAGTCTTGTGCTGGTAGAAACAGATGCAGCTTTGGGCAGTTCTCTGCAGGGTCAGTTTCTGGAAGTGGGATCCACGGGCTCAAGGCTCATGCCTGCTCAGTGGGGCTGACACTGCCAAGTTGGGCTCCCAGGAGGATGTCAGGAATCACCCCCTGAGCGGCATTTGGGCTGCCCTGGTTTCGGAGCCACAGTGTGAGAGCACACATGTTGTTCTTTGGGAGAGCTGCTTTCCTAACAAGGCAGCTCCAGCCGAAGGAAGCTGGCTGCTGGGTTCCTGAGCCCACGAATCCGTCTCCAGGGTCAAGCCCTGACAGGCAGCCCTGCTGGGACAGAGAGGTCACCGTGCAGCTCTGACCTTCCACCACCATCTCTACTGGGGGAGAGCTGGGCAGGAGGTCACAACACCTGCATTCTGATCCACACCAGGCAGCATGCCACCACAGGGCCCTTCTGAAGCCTGTTCCCTGTCTAGGAAGTGACTGTCAAAAGGGCCAGCTGGGAGCTGGTGGCCAGCGAGAAAGGTGGCTTCATGGAGACCAAGGTCAGGGTGGGTCGGGTCGTCAGCGCCTGCCTTGGACCCGTCTTCCTGGGGTGGTTGTGAGTGCGTAGGGCATTTTAATGGCCCCCAGCCTGCAGACCACCCAGACTGAATTCTCAGGGAGCCTTCACCGTGGTCTGGCCCCTCCTTTCCCAGAAGTGGAAGTGGAGGAGGAGCTGCTGTTTAAGCATCTGTCGCCAATGCGTAGGGAGGTCTGTGTAGGGCTCAGTGGACCCTGGATGTGGCAGGGCGAGGAACTGTGCACTGAGGGGGCAGCAAGGGCTCTAGACCAGGAGACGCGGCCTTGGGCAGACGCGGCCTTCGGCAGGGAGGTGGGACTAGAAGGACCCACTCAGCTGCTGTGGAACCACTGTGAACTGTGGTCTCTTTCTCTACAAAATGGGAGGAGACTAAGCTCCCATGACCCCTCCTGGCTTTAGCCAGAGGACTCTGCGGATTAGAGCCATGCTGGGTGGCGGTGGTGGTGGCATTAGACTAGTTTGTTTTTGAGCCAATGTTGAATTTTCTAGGCCAAGGAGGGGCCCCGTCTGGAGCCGAGGCTTGGGCGGTCACTCCCTTAGCCCTTTCCCAGGGCAGGCCTGGCCCACGGCCGAGGCTTATCCTGTCCTGCGTCGGGCAGTGACTGAGGCCAGTGGATGTGGTGATGTCCGGCGCGGTTCTGCGGCTCTGGCAGAAAACCCAGGGAAAGCTGCCCGGGAACAGCTGCTGTCTCCCGTCCTCCACAAAACGCCATTTGGCTTGTGGGGAGCCCAGTCGGCCGCTCCGCCAGGCTGCGTGGGCTTGTTGGAGGGGCGGGCGCTGGCATGGGGGTCATCCACGCAGAGTCGCCCAGGGATGGGCGGGGCCGGGGCTGTGCCCTGGAAGGTGAAGTCGAGGCTGTCGGGGGCACCTGGGAGATGAGGGAGGATCCATGGCCACTGGAGACCCCAGGTCCCGGGGGGTCTGCGGGGGTCTGGAAGTATTTGTGAGCACCTCCTATTTATAGCCAAGCTCCACTTCTTCCAGAGGAAACTGGGACTCCGCCAGGCCCCACAGCCCAGACAAGCAGCGGCCCATCCCAGTCCCAGAGAAAGTCTTGCTGCTGACACCGGCGGCCCTCAGTTCCCGCTCCTGGCTGAGTGGGGCCATAGAGAAGCCAAGTCCCCCCCCGCAACCCGCCTTCTGGTCACCAGGGCCTCCCTGCCCTTCCTTGTCCCCGCTGATCTGCTATCAGGCAGCAGCCAGAGTCTTACTAAATCTATACCCGGCCTCGTGTCTCCTCCACTCAGATCCTGCAATGGCTTCCATCCCAGATAGGAAAATCCAGGTCCCTCCCCAGTATCCTTCCCCGTCTCCCTCACTCGATGCGCTGCAGCTCTACCAGCTTCCTCCCTGTTCCTCAAATAAGCCAGCCAGCAGACAGGCTCCCACCACAGGGCCTTTGCACCTGCCATTTCCTTTGCCTAGAACTCTCTTCCGGATATCAGCATGACTCTTGTCCTCAGCCCCTGAGGACATTGCTGAGGCTCCCTTCTCAGTAAGGCCTTCAAGGACCCCTCTATTTAAAATTGCACCAGCACTCCCTTACCACCCCCCATCTCTGTTCTCCTTCCCGGCTTTCTTGTCCTCTGAAGTACTTGTCATCAATCAGCTTATCAAATAGTCTCCATATTCATGTTCTTTTTTTTTTTTTTGAGTTGGAGTCTCACTCTGTCTCCCAGATTGGAGGGCAATGGCACGCTCCCAGCCACTGCAACCTCGACCTGTTGGGCTCTGGAGATCCTTCCACCTCAGCCTTCCAAGTAGCTGGAACTACAGGCGTGCGCTACCATGCCCAGCTAATTATTTTGATTTATTGATATATTGTAGAGATGAGGTCTCGCCAACTTGCCCAGGCGGGTCTCGAACCCGCGGGCTCAGGCAATCCACTCACCTCGGCCTCCCAAAGCACGGGCTGACAGGCTGAGCCACCGAGCCCGGCCCATATTCATGTTCTTGAAACCCTCTCTCCCCTAGAATCTAAGCTTCCAGAGCTGTGGCTCAGGGCTTGGTACACAGCTGGCACTCAGGGGTGTGCCTGGAATGCGCCCTTGGCTCCTGCCCTGTGCACGGGCACAGGGGGTGCGGCAGTGTAGGCAGGCCAGTCCTGGCTCAGGGCTTGGTGCTGTGAGCAGAGCCTTTTGAGATGCTAGCAGGTCCCAGGCCACTGTGGTCCGAGTTCCTCCTGCCTGATGCTGGGGCCGCCCTGGGCACTCGGCAGGAGCTGGGACCACTCCCAGGACAGCCCTGGCTCCCCCTCCTCCCTGCCCAGAAAGAAGAGGGAGCAACCGACAGCTCATCATCTCCATCCCCCCCACCCCCCAGAGACCCCCCCCCCCGGGGCTCTGCCACTCAGCCTGAGCTCCGAGGACCCCGGAGCCCCACCTGGGAGTTTGTTCAAGGTGCACCTTCCGCTGGGGCTTTCTGCCTGCATGGCCGGGGATGCCCTCGGAGCCCCCGTGTCTCACAAACTCCCCGGGACCGGCTCCGTGCCGCCCGTCTGGGAGCCCCTGAATTCGATTAGTAATCCGCCGGAGTTTTTCTAAATCCTGATTTAGAGCTGGTGGAGCGACCCAAGTGGAACCTCCAGCTCTTTGCAGCCGGTTATGTGGCCTGACCTGGTCGACGCCCTCTCTGAACCTCCCTGTGGGCATAAGAGGATCTGCAAGCCGGCGTGTGGGGAAGTGAGGGTCTCCTGGGGCCAGCAGCCCTCCTTCTCACCCAGGGCCTGGCCAGGAGCCCGCACTGCTCTTTCTCAGACCCGGGTCTCTGGCAGCCCCCGCTTGAGGCTCACCTTCCCTCTGGCTCCTTCTGCTTCTCAGGTAAGACTCGCACCAAGGACAAGTACCGCGTGGTCTACACGGACCACCAGCGCCTGGAGCTGGAGAAGGAGTTCCATTACAGCCGCTACATCACCCTCCGGCGGAAATCCGAGTTGGCTGCCAGCCTGGGGCTCACGGAGCGGCAGGTATGCGGGTCTGCCTGTCCGTCCCAGCCACGGGAGCAGCACGGGGACGCCGGTCTCCAGGCTGCCAGGAGGATCAGGAAGTTTCGTAGAGGGAGAACAGAGAGGTCGAGTCTCCAGGCCGTTGTCATGCAGCACAGCAGAAACTGAGCACTGCCAACCCCCCTCAACAAAACCCAATATCCTTGCCCCCAGATAGGGGGATAAAGGGGTCCGACTGGCCATGGGTGACAGCAGGTTCCGGTCAGGGCTGTGGCGAGTGTTGTAGACATAAGAGGAGCCGATAGGGAGAGCAGGGAAGGCTTCTGGAGGAGGAGTGAGAGCGGGGCCTGGGCGATGCAAGGTGGAAGGTAACAGAGAAGGGCGTCTCCCGGGTTGGGAGCAAGACCTGGAGAGGGACCGTGCTCAGAGTCCACACAGTCTGGGCAGCTGCAGTGGGAGGGGACCCAAAGCCACTTGGAGAACACGGGGCTCACGTACCCCGTCTATCCCCATCGCCCATCTCCACTCTCCTGTTCCACAGGTGAAGATTTGGTTCCAAAATCGGCGGGCAAAGGAGCGAAAGGTGAACAAGAAGAAACAGCAGCCCCTGCCGCCGCCTGTGGCCCATGATGTCAACCCCGCCCCAGCCGAGCCACCCCTGGGGGGCCTGTGCCCTGGCAGCTCCAGCCTCCTGGGCGCCTCCTCCCCAGCACCTGTCAAAGAAGAGTTTCTGCCATAGCCCTGCCCAGCCTGTGGCCAGGACCTGGGTACTCACACTAGAGTATGGCTCCTGTGGGCCCAAAGGTCTTGCCTGTCTGAGCCCCAGCCCCGCCATGGACCTTCTGGGCCACGGTGGCTACGTCCCCTGCCACCTGCACCCCCAGACCCATCTGTGAGCCTGTTGGGTAAAGACTCTGCAGTTCCTGTGTTCCAGCCCTTGGGGTGAGGGTGTCCAGGGTAGGTGGTCTCAATCTCTCGAGTGCCTCTCAAACCCCAGAGGGCTGGATGGGGGACAAAACAGGCCCCAGGTCCCACCTCCTTCTCCAGAGGGTCAAGGGGTGGTTGGGAGGTCCTGCTGCGAGGGCCAGTCTGGCCACGGAGAGTGGTGAGCTAGGAGCAGACACCAGGGGGGGGCTGTGCCTGCCTCTCCCTGCACCTTACTCTCCTGACCCCAGCGATGCCCTGGGCCCTCCAGACCAGATGTAGAGCTCCAAGCCCACAGCAGCAGGCCCTGTGGCCACCCCGTGGGGTTGTAGGGTCACAGCCCATGGGCATTCTCAGGAGACCTCCAGGTTGCGCCGGAGATCCCTGGGGGGGAGGGGCAGAGTCCACCCACCGGCTGTCCCACAGGGCCCAGGCCCCAGGGAGCCCCCAGAGGACTGTCTCTGGACCCAGCAAAGCCCAGTTGTGTTGTACATAGAGTGTACAACACTTGGATGCAGCTTCGAGATAAATGTTTCTTCTCTTTTAAAAAAATGTGTAAAAATCATGATACACGGCAATAAAGAAGCGTTTTTGAGAAGCACAAATCATCCTCACCTTCCCTGACAATTGTGTATTCCTTTCCCGTCTTGTAGAGACCATAGCAAGGTCACCTTTAAAATACATTTGAAAGATCAAGCAGGACCCTCTCAGAGTCCATGAGAACGTGGGAAATGAGAGTCTGTTTGTATGCAGAATCCTCAGGCTCGACAGGTGAGCTTCTGACGGTACCAGAATCTTCTGGTGCAGTTTTCCTTCCAACAGGTAGCATTCGTGGCGCACCACCACGCCAGGTGTGGTTGGGCCTGGGAAGCCCACGGTCCCCGTCCCCCAGAAGTCCGCAGTGCACACGGGGGACGCTGATGTGACAGGGTAAGGGCCAATGCAGGTTGTGCTCTGGGCATCAAGGGAGCCAGCACACCCACTTCTAGCTTATGCCGGAAGGCTTCCTGGAGGAGGCATGTTCAAACTGAGACCTGAAGAACTAGTGGGTGCCTGTCAAGTCAAGAAGGGGGAGAAGTTTAAGGAAAAAAAAAGAACTCGAGCAATGAACTGAAAGTATAATTTTTGTCAGCCTCCTAAGTTTCTGTCACCTGGGCCTTCTCTCGCCCCAGTGCCCCGTGCCCGCTCTCTGTTTATAGTTCTGGTAGGGGCCGGGCCCTAAAAAGTGTGCACGGTGGACTCCTGGTCAACCCTTGCTCCTAGGGCACATGGGAACAGCAGACAGAGTGGATCCAGGTTCTTCTCTCTTCTGCCAGTGGCCCCAGAGACACCTAAGGCCTGGCCACCAGGAGGTTCCAGAGGAAGAGGCCAGAGTTCCAGCAATGGGGAGCAAAAGCTGGGGAAAAGGGGATGGGTGCTGAGTGAACAGAGTTTTCTGATCTTCACAGTGGAGCAAGCGTGTGCTCTGTGACCCTGGGGCAACTGCTTCCCCTCTCTGAGCCCTCACTTCCCCAGCTGTAAAAATGGGAAGCTTGTCTGACAAAAAGAAAGAACCCTGGTTAAGTACATTTGGGAAATCCTGCAGACTTCACCCCTCTGGGAGACTTAACACATCAAAGGCTCTGACAAGCCCTGTGGCAAAGAGACCACTCAGTTTTTTTTGTTTTGTTTTGTTTTGTTTTGAGTTGGAGTCTCACTCCATAGCCCAGACTGGAGTGCAGTGGCACGCTCCTGGCCACTGCAGCCTCGACCGGCTGGGCTCCGGCGATCCTTCCACCTCAGCCTTCCAAGTAGCTGGAAGCTGGAACTACAGGCATGCGCTACCATGCCCAACTAATTTTTGATTTATTGTGGAGATTAGGTCTCGCCAAGTTGCCCAGGTGGGTCTCGAACCCGCGGGCTCAGGCAATCCATCTGCCTCGGCCTCCCAAAGTGCTGGGATTACAGGCTGAGCCACCGAGCCCAGCCACCCCTCAGCCTTTCAGTAGTCCAGCACTCCCCAGGCTCTGCTATCTGGGAGGCCCCTGCTCACACCTGTCGCCGTCCCACTGAACTCCACACTCTAGCGTGGGATGTTCTGGCTGGAGGACCATGCCTTCTGGCCACATCCACTCCGTGACTCAGTGTCTGGCAGCAGGTTTCCTTGTCAGATAGCCTGGGTGTTTCAGCGTGACTGTTCCAGGCAAGTTGCTTAGCTTCTTGGAGCCTCAGCCTCCTCATGTGTCAAGTGAAAATAAAATACGCCTCTTCCGGGGATGCTGTGTAGAGGCACTCAGAATGGTCCAGCGTTTGACTTACCATCGTAGGCTTTCCTATAATACCACCTCTAACAAAACTGGGCTGTCCTGAATGACTGGTAATAGGATTGTTTGCCTATATACCAAGAAGGTTGGGAAAGCACCAAAATCTGTGTGTGGTGTGTGCCCAGGCAGACTTCGAGGGGTTCCTAAAGTTCTTATGAGGTTGTCCCAAACAAAGAAAACATGTCAGTGTGCTTTTTTTATCGAGGAGCAGAAAATTGTCATCAAAGTGTTGAAGATACAAGCACAGAGTCAGAAAGCAAAAATGAAGAAATGAAGCTTTTTTTTCTGCAATAAAAATTAAAAGCCTTAAAAAGAAAAGAAAAGAAAATACTCTGAGCTTGGGATTATTTGCACCTAGTCAGGGCTTGTGTTTTGAACACCTGCCCACGGGCTGCATCAGCCCTAACATCCCAGCCTCAGAAAGACCTCTGCCTAGCAGGAGGTCAGAGACCAGACCCAGCAGGCTGGGTGGGTTGCAGCCGTTGTCTGTGAGGGAGGTGGGGAGGGCAGGTGGGCCCTAGCCTGGGTTGGTGATCTCCCTGGAGGGGTGTCGGGGCTCCGCGAAGATGGAAGCTTTTCTGTGACAACCTGCAGGTGTTGTGGGAGTCCCTCTCCACCTGAGAACTCCACCAGAGGCCTGGGTGTCACAATGGCTCAGGAAAGAGACCCTGCGGCCACAGGGTAAGCCCTGCTCTCCCTTCGGGAACGACCTTTGTGGCTAGTGATTTCGTGGTGGTTCCCTTGCTGGGTGGCAGGTGCCGCCCTGCTGCTGCAGGCCTGGGGCCAGGAAAGTCGGATCTGGTCTGGCCTGGCCCTCCGAGGCCTGCAGCCTGGTCATGGCCTCTCGTGAATCAGAATTGCGCCCATCATGTCGGCACTTTGTGTTGCCTCTGGTTTCAGGGCGTCCGCAGCCCCTTAGCCCTGTAAGTAGACTTTTAGCCTTGTGCAAGAGCTGGTCCCATCACTGATGCCGAGAGTCCGGTGTGGGATGGCAGGGCTAGACCCTTGGGGGGTCCGGGGCTCAGGCAACATTAAGAGGAGGGCTCCGGCAGCCCAGGGTGTGTGTATGTGCGTGCTCACACGTATGTGTGATGGGTTGTGATGGGACAGGGGTGAGGATGGGCTACTGTAGGGCTCTGAAGGGAGCAGCCCGTGTCTGGATGGATGAGGTGCCCATCAGGGGATGCAGAACCAGGGGGCGTGGCCAACCTGGCCAGGGCAGCTTTGACAACCACCCTATCTCAGCGGGGTGGCGCAGAGACCCTTTCTCTGAACCAGGCCAGATGGATCCGCCGCCTGGAACCATGTTTTTCACAGTCGCCACTCCCTGGTGTGACAAACACATGCTCCACGGTGAAAAAATTCGAACGTTTAAGCAAATTAAAAATGTTTATTTATATGCATTTAAAAATATCTCCCTATATAATGAAAGGAATTGCATTTCCATGTAGCACTTTCCTTAAATCAGCACACGGCTCCATTTCCCTCCTGGCTAGGTGTGAGAGGAGGAGGGAGGAGGAGGATTCACCCTTCGGGTTCCTAAGAAGTGATTCTGCTAATAGCGCCCAAACCCCCTCTGGAAGGGGAGAGGAGAGGGTGGTGGCGGCAGTTGTTCACTAAACTCCTGGTCGGTTGCAGGAATCATAAAATCGGCGCCTCCGTGGGCAGATTGGTTTGTGAAGACAGTGCCTTCTAGAAATCTTCCAGACAGTGCTGTATGAAGGGCCAGACTTTCCCCACCAGGGCTGGGTGGATGGGCAGAGGGGGCAGAGCCTGAGTGAGCTCAGACTCCAAGGTCACAGGCATGGAGTGACCTGTAAGCCCTACCCCACTCTCCGTCACGGAGTGATTCTGCAAGCCCCACCCCACTCCCGTGGGCCTCAGTTTCCCCATCTGAAAGGCGTGAGCCTAGACCCATTTGCATTCCACAGCCCCAGTGACTGCCACTGGCTCTCCCCCTCCCCCCCAGGGCTGGATCTGTGAAGCAGGGAGACAGGTACTGCCAGAAGGGTCACGAAGAGGCCTGAGCCAACTGCCTCACCCCTGCTCCTCATCCCAGGGCTCTCTGAATGAAGCCCAAGTGTCAATGGGAGGGAGTGGTTTGGCAAGACAAGCCCAGGGTGAGGGGATGTCCTGCCCGGGCCTCCTTGGATCCAGAAGCCCCCAGCTTCTGCCTCTCCCTAGGCCCTCCTGACTTTATCTCCAACGCCCAGAGATTCAGTCCACTGGCAACCTCAGGCACACGACTGCACTCCTCAGGTGTAAAATGAGGTGCACATATCTGCCTCCTCAAGGCTGCTGGGAAGAATTAAACACTAGATATCGGATTTAAGAGTCTGCCCTACTGCACATAGTAGGGCTCAATAAATGCTCCTCTCTTCACATTCATGATGGGGGATGGAGTGGAGGGGAAGCTTTCCTCTTGGCTCTGCAGATCCCCTGTGCGGCCAGGCTCAAAGGCCCACCAGAGTGCAGCCGGGTAGGGAGGGGAGGTGGCCCAGGACCTGGCCAG